AGAAAGAAAGAGAGAGAGAGAAAGAGAGAGAGTGAGAGAGAGAGAGAGAGAGAGAGAGGGAGAGTGTGTGTGTGTGTGTGAGAGAGAGTGTGTTCGTTTGTGAGTATATGTGAGCGTGTGTTAGTGTTTTTGTGTTCTTGGAAAAGTAAAACAGATAGACAGAAAGATACAGAAAGAAAAGAAGTAAGACCTACCAGTGGCACCCTCCAACCACCCACACTATCAGGGATAGAACATTAAAGTTAATTTACTAAAACCCTGTCTTGTTGTGAGCAGGCATGAGTGCACCAAAGATTTGTAACATCTACTGCCATTGTAAATGACCAAGACAAATTGTGAGGCAGCGTGGTGGAATCAGGCTTTCGTCAAAATAATCAAAGTGAAGAAACTTGCATTTTTCCTCAGGTTTGTTAATTTTTATAATATTTTTGTATTTTGGCTCAACACCTTCCATGCCCATTAAAGAACTCATTTCCGTGTGGATTTTTCTGAAAAATGTTGATTAAAGGCTCAAAAAATGTAAATTTTCACTCACCACGGACTCTTAAGATAAGGAAATAACTAATCTTTGGCGGCCATTTTCTCACTAATTTTACCTCTGAAAACAAGTGACCCCCACCTCTCTCAGTCTCAAATATCTCGACTTGTATTCTAGATAAATGGCTATTTTTTTCATCCAAATAAACACAATTGAACAAGCTTTAAGATGACTCTCTACATCTACTCTCTACTCTAATAACTCTCTACATGCCCAAAAATTGACGAGAGCCTGATTCCACCACGGTGCCTCACAATTCCCTCCTGGGAGAAAAATAAAGATTGTCATTGTCATCTATTCCTTATAGGAACTATACCAAAATGAAAAATATAAAAAAAACTAGTACATAAACACATACTTAAGTGGATTGTTCACGACAGCGACGTTAAACACAACTAGACTGAAGATGTCCAGTCAGGATATTATTATTCCATTGTTTAATGGTGTAAATATATTCACTACAGACCAGACAATTATGTTCAGACAGCAATATAATAATATAGGTCAACGTTTTTCAATTCGTGATTCCTGCATATTTAACACCTTACTCTTACAGTACAGCCTGTTTAAGAGGCGCGGGGTACCCCTCAATGCCACGACAAGAGCACCGCACGGTCTGAGCATCCAGTCTGAGTGAGTTGAGCATTCGTTCAATCTTTATTTATGAAGTTATGTTCCGGGGAACCACCTCATCTCTTCATTCAGATTTTTTAAAGTACAGACCGTCCTCACTGTTCTCCTTTTTCAACTGTAAAATTGTTATAATATTTCCTCCTTCGTCTCTGCCTGTGGCCTGTCTAATAGTTTCACATTTTTCGCCTTCCTTGCTTGAGTACTCTACATTCCCATTTCTTCCATTAACTCAAAGGACTTTCACATCCCCCAACCCCTTCTCCTTTTCTCTCTCTTTCTCTTTCTCTCTCTTTCTCTCTCTTTCTCTCTCTCTCTCTCTCTCTCT